AGAGAGAGGAAGGGAGAGGGAGAGAGAGAAACATAGATGAGAGAACATTGATTGGCCGCCTCCTGCATGCCCCCCACTGGGGATCGGGCCCACCACCTGGGCATGTGCCCTGACTGGGAATCGAACCGGCGGCCTCTTGGTGCAGGGTCGATGCTCAGCCACACTGGCCGGGAGTGACTGCCCTTCTTAACCTTACTAAGGAGTCCATGGAAACAGGAAAGGCTGGCCCCAGCTCCTGGACCAATCCTCTCCCTCACACACACCCAACACACCTGCCAACACACCCTCCCCAGGCATCCTCCCCACACCTCTGCCCCTGGCTGGCACTTAGTCCTTCTGCGGTACGGACAGACGCCACCCGCTGGTGCTGTGGACCAACAGCACAGGCTCGGGTGGCTGCCCTGGGTGCCCCCCAGGACTAGACTCAACCGTGGATCTGCACTGGGAGCCCCAAGCTCACCAGCTGGCAAGAAGTCCGCACGGGAGGCACCGTCCGTGCCCATGCCTGACGTCACCCCGTCTGGGGGCTGAGCCCTGCGAAGTGGGTGTTCACTCTGTTTACTCTGGAAAACTGACTTTCGTCTTTCACAAGAGACTTCTGAGTGTTTCAGGAAAACCACAAGTAGCTCATGTCGCTCTCAAATGACTGTGGAGCTCTCTCCCAGATGAAGCCGGCCTTGGTGATTCGGGAGGCTTTCGAGACCGAGGAGAACCAGGTCTTATCTGTGTGCAGCCTGAGGGCCGTGGTCCCACAAGGGAACCGCCAACGAGAGATGGTGCGAGACCTGTGCCTGGCTTCAGCCGAAGTGATCAGTGGAACCCTCTTGTCCCTGGAGACACTCGGGTCCCCTCGAGGCCATGGATGTTGTGAAGGACACGGCATCCTAGGCTGGGTCTTTGCAGACCAAGGTGAAGTCTGTGTGACTGGTCACACATCCTGCCTGCACGAATGCTTCGGACCGAGTGGGAAGGTCCATACAGGACCTGAGGACAGCTGGCCCCAGGTACGTCCTCACTGGGGGGGACCAGGAGCCTGAGGAGCACAGCGGAGGTTGGTGCCCCAGTGGTGTCAATGGTGCTGGAGTCGTGTTCAGTTGTCTTAACGCTGCAGGACACCAGTGTGCTGACGTGGTCCCAGCAAATGGCCCAGTTTCCAGGGTGTGGCGGAGAGTAACACGGTCTGCGTCTTACCCCAGTGTAGGAACAGGCTCAAGCGACACCTTCCTCACAAGAGTTCCTGTGTGTCTACAGACAGCACCTGTTCTCTGCAAATCCAGGTCTATGTCCTCGTGTGAAACCACTCGGAGTTCAAGCCTGGCGGACCAGCTGTCTTCATGGGCCGTATCACCTGGATTCTCTTGAGCTGTCTGCACACTCTTGATATTTTCTTGAAATGTTTGTATGGCTTTGGCAAACCTGTTCTTATCGTCTATGAAGAAATCCCTTCTCTACGATGAAGACTTTTTGTTTGAATGGGTGTGGGGTCTGGACGTTCTCTGGCCTGTCCAGGCACCAGCACCTCAGCAGCCCCGCTGCCAGCCGCTCCCGGCTCCGTTCTCAGTTCGTTCTGCTGCACCTCCGTGGGGACCCTCCGCTCCCAGAAAGGACGTTTCGTGTCCTTACCTCGGACGACGATCTTCCTTATTCAGTCTTTAGTGGAGGGAAAAACGCGATCAGTGAATGGTTTACTTCACTCTCAAGATTACAGGAGTAATAAAGCTCATTATAAAAACTCAAGTGGGAGAGACAGAGACGTCTGCCCTGTGCACAGCCTTGCTGTCGTTCCACACGGTGTGACCTGCTGACCTGTGCTTCTCCTCAGCCACATCCCTCCTCCCAGGGCGAGCCCTGAGGCCACTCAGCCCCCTCGTCTTGGGACTGTTTCTGTGGGTAAAGCAGCAAGTGGCTCTAGGAAGGGACACGAGGCCGGTGGCTGAGTGGTTTCGTGGGAGGATATACCCTTATCCCTGGTGTTCCCACCTCAGCCACGACTGTTCAGGCTTTAAGGGACCACACACATACGGACAGTAGGTGTCTCAAGATTAGTGAGAACTGGACACTGCACACCCCCTCCCCCCCGTATATTTTGTATGTTGCCTTGTGCAAGGGGACCCAGATCTTGCATGATTTGGAAAGAGGTAAGAGCTCACGATAACCGAGAACGAATGACTATCGGTCCAATGGGTAGGGCACCAGAATTGAAGATTTCCACATAAAATAGCTACATATATATCCTGTACACAGATTAGTCTGTGGGAACGACTTGTAACCATTACACGCACACAAGTCTCCATGTCTGGCAAAAGTGCGCGAGTGAGGCCTCAGACGTGTTCACCTCTGCAGGCACCCAAGGCTTTCACAGGTGCTCACGTGATCCGCACACAAGCGCTGCACCCAGGAGCACAGCTGCAGCCGAGGCGGAGGTTTACCCAGGGCCAGTGTTCCCGGGAAAACACCTGGATTCCCTCCCGTCTCTACGTTCGGTGTGTGCACTCCACACCTGCAGGCCTGACGCCGCGTCGTGACCTGTATATATTACTCTTAGGCCACACTGTAGCCACGCGAGTTTTAAACACGAGTGACCCATGTATAGGAATCCAATGCATTTAAAACGTCAAGAAACTGAAGGTCATTCAAAGCTTAAGATAACTAAAATACAGTTTTAGATTTTTATTAAATTCTGTCTCTCCCCCTCCCTCTTTAAATGTAAAGTTTCTAACTTAAATCAAAGAGGAAGGAAGAGACTTCTGCTTATGACCAAGAGGGAGGAACAGGGACCAGATGGCCTTGGACCTGAAGCAGCGGGGACGCTGGTGCTCTCTGGTGCACCCCACCGGGGACGCATGCGGAGCTGCACAGAGGCCAGCGTGCGTGGGGGGCGGGTCTGCGGCGTGGGAGGCGTCTGCGGCGTGGGGGCGCGTCTGCGGCGTGGGGAGCGGGTCTGCGGCGTGGGGTACACGTCTGCAGTGTGGGGGGCGCCTCTGCGGTGTGGGGGGACCCACGCAGCCAGTGGGCAGACAGCGGCTGGGCGAGCTGCAGGGTGCCCGAGCCCCCGGACCTGCTGAGGGGAGCACGGGCCACCTGCAGGGACCAGCAGGCACGTCACGGGTCCGCCAGGGCCTGGAGGAGCTGCGCTCCGCCAGCACAGGGCCTCACACGTGTCCGAGCCGGTCCTGCCGCAGACGCAGGCGCTGCCTTGTTCCCCCTCAGGGGTCAACAGTGGGCGCTCTTCACAGCGAGGAGAGAGAACATTTTTGAATCTCACTGACCTGAATTCTAGGTAGCTTTCAGAAATCAGGGAGAAATAGCCCTTTCAGACGTGCAGCAGTGGCAGAAGTCCAAGCGCGGCAGGGCCTGCACGCCGTCGTGTCCGCCACCGAGGCGGAGGGAAATGCGCACGTGGGAATCGAGCCATGTCAAGGAGTGAAGCGTAAGGGAACAGGTAAATAACTATGTGGGTAAACATAAAAACTTAACAAATGACTTTAAGAAAGAGTAACCAATGACATTACAGGTCGCAGACGATCTGATTTCAAACTTACTACAGAGATCAAGTCAGGGCAGGCTTAGCATAAAGACAGACAATAACTCCAGGGACACAAGAGTCCACAAAGCCATGTCCATGTGCCTGAACAACTGACAGTCAACGCCAGCGCCAGGCAGGTCAGTGGAGAAGGGGCAGTCTTTTCCACAAACGGTGCTGGGATAACTGGATATGCAAAAAAATGACCCTTGGCACTCTTCCTATGTACAAAAGTTCACTTGAAAGTGACCAGAGACTACATATAAGATCTAAAACTATAAAACTTCCAGTAGAAAATACAGGAGAAAAATCTTACTTACCTTGGCTTTCTTATGATTTCTTAAAATATGGCATTAAAAGCACAAAATATAAATAAAAATGAATAAACCGGACTTTATCATAGTAAAACCTTCTGCTCTTTGAATTACACTGGCAAGAAAAAAAACACAAGCCACAGACTAAAACAAATTTTTGCAGAACATCTAACAAAGAATTCTTTTCCCAAAAAAAGCATTAGTATCTAGCATACATTAAAAAACAAAAAAACAAAACAAAACACCGACAGTGCAAAACGACAAATAGCCTAATAAAAGGGGACAAGAGATTTGATTAGATAGATAACAAAACAATTTACACGGATTACAAGTAGGCAGAGAGAACTGCCTACCATCACTGGTCACCAGGAGAATGCACCCAGGACACACCGACGAGGATGGATGAACGGCCCCATGGACCGCGCGTCCACACGCAGGGACCTGCTGCACACCTGGAACGGGTCTAGAGCAGAGCGCTCCCCGAGCATCAGCAGCTCCGCTGTCCAGCCCTGGCCCCCGGGCCTCGGGGAAGGCTGTCGTACTTCTATCCCTGCGACCAAATGCCAGTGGGAGCTGCTAGGTCTGTTTCAACAGGCTCTTGTGAGGATCAGGTGAGATCATATGAAACCACTTTATGAACATGGAGTATTAATGTTATTCTGCCAACAACATAAACATGAGTACCTTTGGAAAGTCATTTAAAGAAAGTGGTAAGAAAGGTAAATAATACCATCTGAAGTCTTCATGTTTTCTTATTGCCCTCATTTACACTAATTTCAACTACTTTAAAACATTTTAATATTTAATTACTTGAAAGGTCTACAAATATTTATAAAAATGTATCTCAAAATATACAAATGTTTGTCTAAGTTAATGTTTACCTTAATGACATTGTACTATTCTCTATGGTGCTATATTACAATAACAAGTCAGTGCACTATTGGTATTTCTTAATATTTTAATTATTAATCACATAATTTGGCAGTAAAAACAACTTTTTACGAAGACATTATATGTGTGTTAACAAATCAATCTTTTTTTAAATTGATTTCTTTTTGAGAGAGAAAGAAACATCAACTGGCTGCCTCCTGCATGCCCCCCACTGGGGATGGAGCCCGCAAACTGGGCACGTGCCCTGACCAGGAATCGAACTGTGACCTCTCAGTTCATGGGACGATGCTTACTCCACTGAGCCACACCGGCCCGGCAACAAATCAATCTTGATTCACTCCTTTTGCGCCCCCGTCTCCCCAGGTAGCCTGGTAAGAATCCAGGACTTCAGTTTTTCCAGCTCATCTGTGCTCAGCTCGTGGTGAAGCCCCGGGAACGTATGGAGCGTCGTGCGCACGCCCAGGGAGCGTAGGGCCGCGTTGGTCTCTTGGCCCCAGGCGTGCAGGACGAGCTGGTCCGCGGCCCCGTGGCACTGGAACAGCTCCGGGAGCTCGCCGCCGCGCTGCCCCAGGGCCTGGACAGCAGGACACACGAGCGGACAGGTTTAAGAGCATCATTCTTGAAATTCAGAGCAACTGGGAAAATTCTAATTGTACCAAAGCTTCAATATTTAAAGGGAAGAACGAGGCAGTGGTGGTGCTGTGCGCAGTCGCACTAATGGGCCCGCGGGGCTCGGCTGCTTGCTGGCACGTGGGCTCCATGTACGTGACCTGCGTGTACTCCACAGAGGACCACGTCAAGAACCGCCCACGCATTTCCTCGAGAGCCTGTGGGACTCGGGAAGACAGACCTCTGCACACAGAGTGGGAGGAGGGGACGCAGGGTAGAGAAAATACTACATTCTAGTTCTCGTTTGTACATCTGCTGTTTCTGCTGTTGATCATGAGGCTGAAACACTGTCACATTCATAACTGAGGACACGGCTGGGAAGCAGGTGTCCACACTGCGACTGACCGTTTCGATTCTGCGCACGACATAGCAGACTTAGCCAGTCATCTCCAGCTTCCTGGCTACAAGGGCTCCACGTGCACCACGCATGGCCTGCTTCTACCCTTTCCCTCTGACACTTAACATTCTCTGCACAGGACATTTCCTGAATATTAAGGATCAGCCTGGTATAAGCCACACGACTAATTTGGCTGTGATATATTACTTATCAACTTTGTTTTAGTTACAATGGTTTTGTTCCTGTTGTTTTTAAAGCTCAAACTTACCTGGTAAACAGCAGACGTCTTATTCAGGAAACTGGAAAGCGCAAACACTCCAGCCACGTCCCGATGATTTCTATACGCCACGTGCATGGCCATGCACCCGCCCATCGAAAACCCTCCTGGGAGAAGCAGAGGCGCGCATGTCAGGAGAAGCACAGTCATGCAGCAATAATTCAGGACAGGATACAGCTATGTCAGCCTAACCTAAATATTCTCTACAGATATCTGAGGACCTTTACAGAGAGGGCGCTGATTTAGTCTACTTTAGATCTCCCAGAGAAAGACCAGCTACGAGGGAGCAGCACTGGCCCACCTGTGTCATCACTGGTCAGGAGACTTGTAATAAAAGCAGCTAGAATTAAAGCAATCATTCATTGAGTAAACAATGTATCATCATTCAAAATATGAGTCACAGTACGTGTTATTTATTTAAATTTCTAATGTATTCACTTACATTGTTCACACTTAGGAGTCTTCACACTGCAACCAGAGTTAGCAGCATGCACCTTTGGCCAAGTTATGGACTCTATGAGGAGCTATACTTCTAGTGCCCACCACACTAGATGCTGAGTGGTCTCTGGATTAGGAAAGATGCTCAGTGGTCTCTGATTTAGGAAAGATGCTCAGTGGTCTCTGATTTAGGAAAGATGCTCAGTGGCCTCTGATTTAGGAAAGATGCTCAGTGGCCTCTGATTTAGGAAAGATGCTCAGTGGCCTCTGATTTAGGAAAGATGCTCAGTGGCCTCTGATTTAGGAAAGATGCTGAGTGGTCTCTGGATTAGGAAAGATGCTGAGTGGTCTCTGATTTAGGAAAGATGCTGAGTGGTCTCTGATTTAGGAAAGATGCTCAGTGGTCTCTGATTTAGGAAAGATGCTCAGTGGGTCTCCTTGATTAGGAAAGATGCTGAGTGGTCTCTGGATTAGGAAAGATGCTGAGTGGTCTCTGGATTAGGAAGATGCTGAGTGGTCTCGGATTTAGGAAAGATGCTCTAGTGGTCTCTGATTTAGGATAAGATTGAGGGTTTAGAAAGATGCTCAGTGGTCTCTGATTTAGGAAAGATGCTGAGTGGTCTCTGATTTAAGAAAGATACTCAGTGGTCTCTGATTTAAGAAAGATGCTTAGTGGTCTCTGGATTAGGAAAGATGCTGAGTGGTCTCTGATTTAGGAAAGATGCTCAGTGGTCTCTGATTTAGGAAAGATGCTGAGTGGTCTCTGATTTAGGAAAGATGCTCAGTGGTCTCTGATTTAGGAAAGATGCTCAGTGGTCTCTGATTTAGGAAAGATGCTCAGTGGTCTCTGGATTAGGAAAGATGCTGAGTGGTCTCTGGATTAGGAAAGATGCTGAGTGGTCTCTGATTTAAGAAAGATGCTCAGTGGTCTCTGGATTAGGAAAGATGCTCAGTGGTCTCTGATTTAGGAAAGATGCTCAGTGGTCTCTGATTTAGGAAAGATGCTCAGTGGTCTCTGGATTAGGAAAGATGCTCAGTGGTCTCTGATTTAGGAAAGATGCTCAGTGGTCTCTGATTTAGGAAAGATGCTCAGTGGTCTCTGATTTAGGAAAGATGCTCAGTGGCCTCTGGATTAGGAAAGATGCTGAGTGGTCTCTGATTTAGGAAAGATGCTGAGTGGTCTCTGATTTAGGAAAGATGCTGAGTGGTCTCTGATTTAGGAAAGATGCTGAGTGGTCTCTGATTTAAGAAAGATGCTCAGTGGTCTCTGATTTAGGAAAGATGCTCAGTGGTCTCTGATTTAGGAAAGATGCTCAGTGGTCTCTGGATTAGGAAAGATGCTGAGTGGTCTCTGGATTAGGAAAGATGCTGAGTGGTCTCTGATTTAAGAAAGATGCTCAGTGGTCTCTGGATTAGGAAAGATGCTCAGTGGTCTCTGGATTAGGAAAGATGCTCAGTGGTCTCTGATTTAGGAAAGATGCTCAGTGGTCTCTGATTTAGGAAAGATGCTCAGTGGTCTCTGGATTAGGAAAGATGCTCAGTGGTCTCTGGATTAGGAAAGATGCTCAGTGGTCTCTGATTTAGGAAAGATGCTCGGTGGTCTCTGATTTAGGAAAGATGCTTAGTGGTCTCTGATTTAGGAAAGATGCTCGGTGGTCTCAGAATTAGAAAGATGCTCAGTGGTCTCAGAATTAGGAAAGATCATCAAAAACTTAGGGAGCTAGTTAAAACATTTTGGGGTTACAATATCATTTTGAAAACTGACGATGCTATAATTAAAACATATATACCTATACAAACTTTAAAAGTTTTCAAAACCAAGCTACTCATTGGACAAACCTGATGGTCTTCATGTGCCCAGCACTGCGCTAGACATCGGAGGTGCACAGAGTATCCACATGTGACGCCTGTGCTCCCCTGGGCAGCACGTGTGTGAAGAGGCATGGGCCCCGTGTTCGAGGGGGAGCAGACCTCACAGAACATGGAGACACAGCAGACGGGGCCCGACTTCAGGTTAGAGGCTTGGTGTGATTTTCCAGGTCTTGAGTCAGAGTTAGAAGACATTTGTATTTTGTGAGGAATACAGTAAATCACACAGCCACACACTTGTGGAAATATGAAAATACACTTTGGTGTAGAATTCAGAGCTTTTCATTTCCAGCCTCCTGCTTTATTTCAATTAACAAAGCGCAAAGCTGAGCCCTTGGAGACCGTAAATGTGAGGTTGCTGCTCACTCCTTATAGGTGGAGGGAGGTGACGCCACCGGAGACTAGGTGACCTGCTTAGGCCACACCGCAACTTCAGCTGTAAACCCAGAGAGCTTGTAACAGAGTTTAACGTACTCGCCACTATTTGCTGATATTCATTAAAATACAACTACTTTATCTGGGAGAGCTGGTAATACTATTTTGAACCCAGGATACAAATGTATGAGTAAAAATTACTAGCCTTGGAAAATTTAGATTTTTAAAAAGGGCCTAATATGTAAATAATTACAGTGTATGAAAATACTGCATTTGTGGATTTCAGCCGATCAGAAGGAAAGAACAGGTCTCGCCAGTGCAGCAGCTCACTATGGATGAGAACCCGAAAGGCTCTATCAAAACAGCCCGAACAACCCAGATGCAGCTACATCTAATTAGAGGCTCACAAATAAGCTTGGCAGGGGAGCCGGGAGCATAAATATCCTAAAATTGTATGTAAACTTTGCATCTGTACATCGGACCCCCCCCAAAAAAACATTAAAAGCCATAGGCATCTTTATCTATGAATCTGTGCATTAATACATGGTTGACGTGTCCCATTAAAATAGGAAGGGCTTGCCCTGGCCGGTTTGGCTCAGCGGTTAGAGCGTCGGACTGCGGTCCGGAGAGACCCGGGTTCGGTTCCCGCTAAGGGCATGTACCTTGGTTGCAGTTTGTCCCCAGCCCTGGTTGGGTCGTGTGGGTGGCAACCACTCGATGTGTCGCTTTCACGTCGATGTTTCTCTCTCTCTCTCTCCCTCTCACTCTATCTGAACAAAATATCGAAAAATGTCCTCGGATGAGGATAAAAAATAAAAAAAATAAAAATAAAATAAAATAGGAAGGGCTTACTGTAGACAAGATTATTTCATTTCTGTAAGCGTAGATAGCTGAACAAGAAGATCTCTAGGGTTTCCAACAAATTTTAAAACTTATTCTATAAATGCTTAATAAGTACTTGTAAAAGTTAAAACAGCAAGGACCTTCCGCATTTGGTTGCTAGAATCACAGAGGCCCACTCCCTGTGTGGGAACAGGCCCCATCTCAGAACAGCCCAGCCCTCCTGCAGGTCCGGTCTGGAGCTCAGCAAACGCTCGCTTCTATTCCTTTTTCCCGTCCGAGCCCCGAGCACCACACTGACAGAATGAATTCAAGACCGCTCAGCGGCAAACACTGTTCATAAATTACACGTTTAAAATGAGGGAAAATGTGAGGAAAGGAGATAGGGGGTTGGAGAGAGAACAAGAGAAAGAGGTGCAGACCATAACCTGGGGCACAGCATAATTAGGGGCGCAACCGGACATACAACTGCTTCCCTGTAGCAATACTCTTAAGCAGAAGAAATTATACCAAACTGTACTGGAGTCCTGGATGGATTAGCTCAGCGGTTAGAGCATCAGCCCGCAGACCAGAGAGTCCCAGGTTCGGTTCCCACTAAGGGCATGTACCTTGGTTGCAGTTTGGCCTCGGCCCCGGTTGGGGTTATGTGCGTGGCAACCACTCGATGTGTCTCTCTCACATCGATGTTTCTCTTTCTCTCTTCCTCCCTCTCTCCTTCCCACTCTATCTGGAGATAAATGCAAAGATGTCCTCGGGCGAGGATAAAAAGAAACAAATCATACTGGAAACTTTCCTTAGTACTGAATTCCTGGGTAGAATTTATCAAGTAGATCTTTATTAAACATAAAACCCAAAATCAGACATTTTGCATACAGTTATTTCTGCTACTGACTCTTTTATAAAAGTTCCGGACATAAAGACAACCTTTACAAGCCTATAAGGTTCACGTGAGCAGGGATTTTTGTCTGTTTTACTCACTGATGTATAATCCCTATGCTTAGAACAGTGCCTGGCGCATAGTAGGTGATTAATAAATATTTAGTGAATAAACGAAAAAATGTCAGTTGCAGTTCCATAAGGATATTTCTGCAAGGAGACAAACTTATATCATCGGGTCAGGTAGCCTAACAATAACAACAGACAGAACATTTTCCACATATGAAATCTCACTATGAACAAACACAAATGCATCCTGCAAACATTTAACCTCGTGTTCAGTTCTCATAATTCACAAGGAAGAAAAATGTCCTCATTGAAATCTAATTATTTACAAATGTAATGCACGTCCCTCACCCATGCACACCCTTGGGAGGCAATCTGCAATTTCTCACCAGCATCTTTGACAATACAATCACCCTCAGCATCATACACTACTGTGAAAAGGGTATTTTTTTAGAATAGAAAAAAAATTTAACACAAAGAACTAGTTATTTGGGAGTTCAATTTCCATCTAAATGTCTAAAATGCAGTATAAAATATACTGTTCAATAAGTAAATACTAAATAGTAAACTCATTGTAGGTAATGGTTATAATGTATATTTATAGTTGCTGGCAAAGTATTAAAATGTCAAGAGTTAACATTTC